CTTAAAAGACCTAGAGAACATATAGCAGGTGCCTCTCTTCTTTCTCTTTGTGTTTGTCATTTTGGCAAATCACTGGAAGATGACTGCTCCTGCTGAAAGGACACCATTTTTTAACTTTTTTTTTTGACACTTGTTTATAGTGTACAGTGTGACATCTCAGTACATGTGTGCAGTGTGTCATGAATGATCGGATCAAGGTGGCTACATATGCATCACTTCTGACATTTATCATTTGTTCTTATTGAAGACATTCAGAATTTACTAGCTCCTTTGAAATACAAAATTGCTATCAATCACAGTTACCCTGCTGTGCTATAGAGCAGAAGTTATTTCTATCTGACTTCACCATGTGAATCATTACCTCTCCATTTTCCCTCCTCCATACCCTTTCTAGGGTTAGTAATCACTGTTGTCTCTCTGACAACCTTTTATGAGGTCAAGTTTTTAGCTTCTACATGAGAAAAATGCAATATTTGTTTTTCTGTCTGACAGATGTGTCCTCCAGTTTCATCCATTTTGCAAAATGGCAGAATTCCATTCTTTTCTCTGTTGAATGATACCCCCATTGGAGATAGATAATTGAAAACAGATTATTGCATAGATCTCTCTGTGTACCTACATATCTATCTCTGTAAATAAAGACAGGGTCTTGCTCTGTAGCCCAGTCTGTCCTCCAATTCTTGATCATTTTGCCTCAACCTCCTGAGTGCTGGGATTATAGGTGTGCATCACTACACCTGGCCATTATTTTGCCTTTTATTGTAGTGAAAAGATGGAGGCTCTTTTACAATGACTTTCTCATCTTTTCTTTCTCTGTGTGTGCAATTTATTCTCTATGTTGACACATGCTTTTCTGATTCTGTCTTGATGATAAAATGTGATAGCATCACACCCCTCAGATCTGGAGTTAAAGGCATTTGCAGGATGCCCAGTTTGTTATGTGGTTGCTGGGATCCAAACTCTGGTCCTCATGATTGCAGAACAAGTGCTTTTAACCGCTGAGCCATCCCTCTTGATAGGCAGTGTTTTTGCTGCTTTCTTCTTGGCCCCAGCCAATCTTATTTCATAGCTTTTTCTACCAGTTTTTGTTTTCTTGTGTTCTATAATGTTCTGTCAACCCAGCTCCTGGCCCACTGTTAGCAGATGATTTTTACTCTATTTTTCCTAGACATAATTGATGCCATCAGAAATGGTACCCTTAGCCTTTTCCCATTTTTTACTATTCCTCCTCCAAAGCAAATATATCTGTTCTATTCTACACTGTTAAACCCAGTCTTTACACGTTTTAGAACTCATCTACTTTTTTAAAAAATATTTTTTATTATTTTTATTTTATGTGCATGAGTGTATTACCTGCATGTATGTGAGTGCACCTGTGTCGTGCAACGGCATGGATGTCAGAAGAGGGCTTCAGATTCCCCTGGAACTGGAGTTAAGGATGGTTCAAACCCACCAAGTGGGTGTTGGGAATCAAACCCGGGTCCTCTGCAAGAGCAGTCAGTGCTTTTATCTGCTGAGCATCTCTCCAGCCCTCATCCACTTTTATAAACCAGCTAATAGAGCTTTTGGTGTGAAATTGTTCTGTATTGGTATTGTTCAGAACTGTTACCCGCTAACTACATATGACCACTGGGCACTTGAAATGAAGCTCGTGTGGCTCAGTAATTAAATGTATTTTATTTAAAGCTTCTTGACATTACTTTTCTTGGGCCTGTTTTCTTCTCAGTCTGATCCTTTTTCATCTGCTTATTCTTCTTCAAATGCCTCTAAATGCTGGTGTTTCTCATCTCTTGACTTCCGTTTCTCTACTTTTTCTGTATCGTTTTCTACCCTCTCCACCTCACCAGGTGCTCTCAGTTATCTGCTTATCAACATTGTTTAAATCTGTCTCTAGCCTTGTCTCTTAAATTCCGAACACAGTCCTACTTCATATTTATTCATTTAAATTTTAACCTTCTAATTAAAATATACTGGAAAAGTTCACAGATTGTTATAAGTACATGCCTTAAGTTATGTAATCAGTATCCATGGCACCACCATCCAGGTCAAAGGAACATTACCAGCACCTCAGCAGTCTCCAGTACAGTACCTCTCCCTTTCTCCCTAATAGTAGGCATCCTGACACTAATACAGAACTGTATTTGAATATTACTTTATAAAAAAAATCATGCAGTATTCCTTTGTGTCTGTTCTTTCAGTTATAGTATTTCTATTTAGAAAAGTTTTTTACTATTACCATTATTGTCTAATCTTCTACTGTGTGGATACAGCACTGTTGATCTGTTTAGTCATTGCTAAGTATTTAGATACTTTCTGTTAAAGTAAAACTTTTTATGAGTGATGCTGCTCTGAATTTTTTATTTTTTGGTCTTTTTGAGGCGCAGCTGGCCTGGAACTCACTATATAGACCAGATTGGCCTTTATCTCTATGAGATCCACTTGCCTTTGTCTCTTGAATGCTGGGACTAAAGGTGTGTGCCACCACACTTGGCTGCTCTGAATGTTTTTGTGTACATTTTCCTCTATGTATATGTACTTTCCTTGAGTTTGTAGCTAGTAGTGGAAGTGCTGAATTGTGAGGTATGCATATGCTCTATTTTAGTAGATAGCAGGTCTCAAAGTAGTTTTGTCAGTTACGTTCTTGTAAGCAGTGTGAGTTCCACTTTTTTAACACTCAGTCATCAGTCTGCATCATTTTAGATACTCTTGAACATCTGTTTACTTTTTTAAGAAATGCTTTATGTGTATGAGTTTACTGCCTGCAGGTATGTAAGTGCACCCATGTCTTGGAGTGCCCAAGGGGGAAAGAAAAGGGCATTGGATCTCCTGGAACTGGAGTTAGCTACAAATAGTTGTTAGTTGCCATGTGGGTTCTGGGAATTGAACCTGGGTCCCCTGCAATAGCAGCTAGTGCACTCTTAACCACTGAACATCTCTCCAGCCCCAAAGAGAGTCCTATTTTCTTTGTGCCTGCTGAGAAGGAACATCTTTTGTTGGTTTGGCATCCATATGTTATGAGGACATCTTTGCCATCTTTTCTGTTGAATCGTCTACCTTTCTTTATTGTAGTTTGAAAGTTCTTAATATATTTGAGTTGAATCTCCCTATCTGCAGGTTCCTAATTTGTAGATTTAACCAGATGTGGATCAAAAAATTTTTAAAAAGAAAATTGAGTCCATTAAGAACATGTACAGACTTTTCTTGTATATCCCCTAAACAGTACAGTATAACTATTTACATAGAGTTTATGTTGTATTAGGTGTCACAGGTTATCTAGAGATGATTTAAAGTATACTGGAACATCTGTGTAGAGTATATGAAAATTCACCATTGTACATAAGGGACTGTGCATCATTGGATTTTGGTATCTGCTGGGGATGGGTAGTATGTGTATCCTGGAACTTATTCCCCATGGATACCAAGAGATGAGTATATTCTAGATATGAGCCATTTGTGGGTTAGTTCCATTGTTAATGTCTTACATCATGTGGCTTGCCTTTTTATTTTCTGAGCAGTGCCTTCCTAGTCTCACCATCCTTGATATGCTTCCAACCCCAAGTCAATTAGCTGTCATATTCTTTATTTCTCATTGATAAAATACAGTTATTTTTCTCAAATAATGGTACTTATCTTCTGGTTTCCCTTTTCCTTTGATCTTTTTAACTCTACATCCCATGGGCTGGGATTACAGGCGTGTGCTACCACCACACTTGTTTATGTGGTGCTAGGGATCAAAACTAGGGTTTTGTGCATGCTACATCTCTAGCTTCACCTGGCTCATTAACTTCTTGGTGATCTTTTTTGCCTGAAGAATAAAGTCTCAGGTTTCAGAAATGGCCCAGTGATTAAAGTGCTTGCTGGGCAAGGTTGAGAACCTGTGTTCCAGTCCCCAGCAGCCATAAAGGCCTCTATAGCAAGATGGGAGGTGAAGACAGAAGTGTACCCAGAAGTTTGTAGCCAATAGCAAACAAGATCTTGTCTCAACACAAGGTGGAAGGCAAGGGCCAATACCTGAGGTTGCCCTCTGACCTCCACAGGCACACTAGTGACACACATATGTACCCAGACTGAACACACACACACACACACACACACACACACACACACACACATTTTAAAAACA